CTCATCGATCACGGCATCGCGAACACCTGATTCGGCCTGTCCCTTTTCACGTCTGTGGTCAACAGACGAGATATGAAGAGTGCAGCTCGACTCTGTATGACCCTGGCGACGTAGTGTGTCTACCCGTGTGGTACGTAAGTAATTTTACACTTTACTCCGTGCCCCGTACCAGCCCTCCGATGGCGACGCAGCTCGCGTCCGCGACCCAGTGTGAACGTGTGTGTGAGAGCTTCGGCTCTGTGTGTGTGGATAGAGGCAAACGTTCTCAATAAAGCATTTGTATTATTTAAACTGTAAATCACCGTGTACTTATTCGATTAACCCTCATACTATTATTTCCTCTCTCTCCCACGATTTTTCTAGTTTACAGGTGTTCTCTCAGGTGCCGTGCTGCAGTCTACGGAGTCCCCGCTCCTACCCGTCGGCGTCCCCTCTTGGAGGTGAACCGTGCTCACGACCGCGAGATCTTTCGTGCCCTCATTCCCTTCGTTTATTCTAGCTAGTCGGACTCTGGTCGGTGACGAGCAACCGCTCGTCTGGCGCGCCGTGCATCGGCAAAGCCGGCCAGGACGTGAGGAAGCCCGTCAAAGCGGTTAGCACGGGGAGCTCACCGTCACAGTTCATATTTTTGTTCTTGTAGATTGAACAAATAATTTTATCAGAAACTTGTTCCACTCAAATATGAAAGTATTTTATTGCAAAGCTTCCAAAACTTATGGGACAAGATTGATAAAAAAATTGATGTCAAGATTTTGCTGAATCCAAATCCGAAGTCAAATGACCTCTATGAAGTCACCTTTAAGTTCATTTGAAGGTCATATTCAATATAAAAATCTGTAACTTTAAATTTTAGCGTTTTGCAGTAAATGTGGGATTTTTTTATATACATAAAAAAACGTTTGACCATGTTTCACGCTCCAATACATGGAGATACATTCGCACTCTGAGTTGCGCACAACTCATGATCAGTCTGGAGTGCGAAACGCCCTCGGGTTCTGATGGGTGCGAACTAATATTTAAACTTGAATGTAATGTAAGGAGAACTTGCCATATTTCGGAACCTTAAAAAATTATTTTTTCTCATTTTTTTGCACATGCATGACGTTTGAAAATTATTGTAAAAATACTTTTTGATAGGAATAAAGTTATCTTTCAAATGATGAACCAAATTTATTATAACGTGTCCGAATATCAATTAATTTACACATTAATATGAGATAATTCGACGATAAATAGTCAGTAGAAGTTTCAGAAAACTTGTTTGAAAATTTGAATTTTGGACTGAGTTCCAGATCTTTTCATGAACAGACGCAAGTATGATTAACCCGTTTTTTGCATTTTCATTGATTTATTTAAAAAACACTTTGTAAAACAAAAGTGACATTTATTAAATTGTAATTTACTTGACTATACCATTTAATTATTTTCAAAAGAAACCGAGCATTGAATTGTGACTGAATATTGAGAAAGTCACCTTGATATGAGTGTGAATCGCACTCAGCAATAATATCGAAACTGGCTCGACAAGACTCGAGCGCGATTCACGCTCAGTTTCGAGCCTGAATTGCGTTCAGTGTTGGTGACGAAACGAGCTTGTCAGAACTCGTGTGTGATTCGTTTTTAGAATTTGATATTATTACTTATTATTCTTTGAAATATTGCTAGTGCGGTCTTTAATCTAAATGGTCGACAGGTTCATTAAAAATAGTCATCTGGTGTTACCAATCCTATTTTTTTCTAATCTCTGATCCTCATTTGGATCGATCAGAAAGCCGAATTAACATCCAACGTGGTAAAGAACTTACGGTTTCTCATTTTCATTATCAAATCGTCCATTAGCAGGAATGGCTGGGTTTGTGAATCGATGATTTTATTGATAATTCTAAAATATATGAACAACCGCAATTTTCTATTTTTTTCTTTTTTAAATCAAGGCCAGTGTTACTGGGGTTGCGATAGGATTATACGAATCTAGTATTCAGTTCTTCTCTATCCGTTGTTTGATTTTTTTTAATTTCAAATTATGTCTTTCAGTCTGCTGATGACCAAAATTCAGAAGAAGTTATATATTGGTCTGTCCATAAACTTATTTGAATTTTGGCCTAATCAAAAGAGATGAATAAGTTTATTTTTAGAATCGTATGCTATTTTCTGCTATTTTATTATATTTAAGATATTGAGGTTATAAAAATGATTTTCGAGTACAAATTTGAGTTCTGCATCGAATTTTACATTAAAAATCATAATTTAACAGAAAAGCAGATTAAGGGGGGAAAGGTACCTAAAATCTCAAAAAAAAAAAATTTTGTTTTATTGACTTTTTTCATAGGATTTTTCCTCAGCTTTCCAGTGCTGTGATCGGAATTTAAAAATTTTAACTGTACCGTGATGTACAGCCTATTCAGTACCGATACTTTTACGATTGTTTAAAAATATATCGTTTCCATTCTCTCATGAATCTCGAGACTTTGATGAGTCGGTAGCGCCGTCTATTGATACTCATTTCATTCTTCATCTAGCAGAAATTTGTTTGTTTACATGGCTATAGGTGTACAGTAACGCCACCACTCGCTGCACGTGGGTTTCGGCATATCTTATGTCTCTCTCTGTTTCGTGCGCGAGCCCTGATCAAATGTCAATAACAGTCTGCTGACTGCATCTTGATTTTCCAATGGCTAAAAATTACATTTTTTTGAAAGTGAAAAAAGTACATGTACAGTGAAGTTATATCTTTGCAACTTGACATAGTGATTTATAATAAAGCTATGAAGATGCTTCAATAGCTTGTTATAAAAATGTTACATTTTTAGCAGTTCAAATTCAAGAAATACAGCAGTACATATGTAAATTGACATATATACATCAGTGTACATGTATGTCACTGTACTTTATGTATGTGTATATAACTGTATCATGTATATTATTGTATGTTGCATGTGATAACCAAGATTAGTGATAATTGATCAATTTTGAGTGATTTTATTTCCAACTATAGATCCAATGATTGTTGTTTTATGAATGTGAGTGAATATAGGTAGAGGGCTGAGTTCAAGTTCTAATGTGAGATTGTGTATATTAGTGTGAAAAGTTGATTTGGACATAATCAACTTAGTTACCAGTTTCCACATAAAACCCATATTAGCGTATGCTAACATTTTAGTAAAACTTATAATTTGGCTTTGTGTGTCTGTCTGGGATTATTGAACATTGTCCTTGTGGGTCTAATATGTTGAAATTTCAAGTTGAATTACTGTTTTTTATTGTCCAAAAAGTTTAAAGCAGCCTCAGTGACATGAGAGTATCATTATGACATATATTGATGTATTTTGGTTTTTTTCAACTCTTGGGCAGGAACGTTTTATCTCAAAATTGCTTTGTTGCCGTAACTTTCCATGTAAACCGTTTGAGCAAATGAGCTGAAATTTTCAGGGATTGTTCTACATGAGAATGGCTACAAACGCAAGCACTTTCAAAGGTATTGGGACAAATGAGCACTTTTTTCAGGCTATGATGTAGCATAATCTGTCATTTTATCATATATATTAATGAATAAATGTATATATGTGGCTGGCAAATTGTGTATAACTAATTAAAAAATCTGAAAGTGCTTGCGTTTGTAACCACACATCTAATGATCAAAATGAGACCCCAAGGACCATGATTGAACCATCGGTTCTAGCTGGATCCTACGGCACAGGGGTACCTGTCAGGACTGTGGGCTTGCTTCATCGAGGAGGGTTCTATGGTGACTGGGACCTCAATTTTTATATTCCAGAGTGAAAAACTTTGAAAAAAGAGTGAAGAAAACAGAGTTTTCTTTGTATATTCCAAAAAAAAATTTTTTCTTCATTTTTAATAAATTTTTTATAAATGTAGGTTTAAGGTACCTTTCCCCCCTTAAGAAGCAGAATAAAATCAGCAAATAAAAATTCGACTTTGAGCTCCTATAGATCCACGAAGAATGGGCCTATTAACTTTGAGTTAGCCTATTTACAAATTTCCCCGATCTCACTTTCGTTCCGGTGGACACGTAAAAAATTACAGAAATGTCATTCCTCTATAAACATACTACTACATCTTGGAAACTGAATTTCCTGCTTGTATCTCTTTTTAAAAGGTAACCAAAAACTCAATGTAAATGTTTACAAAAGTCATCCTGGTAGAATGCTCATGGAATCTGTGTACTTCCTGCGCAAAATCGACACAGAATTTGCGTAGATAATGTTCGTGAAAAACCTACAGAATTTTTGTAAACTAGGTAAAGTGAAACCTGTTTAATTCGAACCTAGTTATTTCGAAAACCTGATTAATGCGAAGAAAGATGCCGGTCCCGGCCAGCTCCCACTTAAAACAATGTTAAGAAAACATTTTTATTTCGTAATTACCTTATTTGTCGAAAAAAATTTAGTAGTACTCAATTTTTTATTATTCAACCAAGCAATTGAAATCATAAGAATTCAAGTGTGGTATATTTCAACAAATGTTGAATTAGTTCAAATGAATATTTCTTTGAATGAACAGGATATTAAGATTCCAGAAAAACAATTTAAAAAAAGTTTCACATTTAAAATTATATATCTCACAATTCGAAAAATTTTGAAACAAACTTCGATTTTTGTGCCTTGGAATAGTGTAACATATTTCAAATTGGTTTTAAATAAGACTTGGACGAAGCCATTGATCACTCTTTACTTGAAACTGTAGAACATTGATGTAATATAGATGTAGAAGCAGGGAAGTGAAATGAAAACCTGACCACAGAAATTACTTGAGTGTAATTATAGTATAGTTTATTGAGTAATCGTATTTAGTGAAAGAGCTCACTCGAGGCTGTAGCTCGCTCCGAGTCTGCGAGATAACTGACTCGCCTGGCTCGGCGCTAGTCTTAGGCGGCCTCGTGTGTTTACATACATTACAATTGATATATTGAAACATTATACAGATTTAAAGAAGCATTTTATTACTGAAATATTTTTGATTTATAATTTTTTACTTTTCAGATTTCCCATTGTCGATACAAATGATCCGTAGAAAATGGAAAGGAAACTTATCCTGGCTCATAAAAAGCAAAAGTTTATATATCAGTGATTGAATTTGACTTGTAATACCCAATGATCATTTTTTCTCTTATATACCAATAATTAAAAATAATAATCTCAAAAAAAATGTTACAAACAAAGTGAACAAAAAGTTCATATAGATCATATGAAAAATTATAAAATAGTAAATTTTATGTATCTCATTTCTATGTTTGCAGAAAAAATTATACCTTAAAAAGCTAAACTAATAATTATTTTGTGATGATTTTTTCAAGTATAAATGGTAACAAAATACTTTTAACCTATATAAATATTATGTTATGTTTTGTGTTAATCTTTTGAGAAAATAGGTGTAAAAAAGGTTTTCGCTGTAGATACGAAATTTTCTTCGCAAAATGACCACACGAGGGAAATACGTTAAATCAAAGGCACTTATTTATTTATTCAAGTCAAAGTTATTATTCTTTTATTAGTTTGCAAAGATTCTTAAATTACTACTCAATCGCGTTTTTACCAAGACAATATCAACAATCGCCGCAAAGTGATGTCCAATGACCGTATGGGTACTCGCGTGACGAAGTCCAAGGAGAAGCTGTAGAGTCACAATACGCTCTCGGCTCGAATCCCGATCTCGTGCCGCGCACTTGCACTCGCGCATCTCCGCGTCACGGTATGCGAAGGCTACACGCTCAGGCTAAAAGAGTAAAATTTGACCCATAAAGGTGTATTCTGCGCACGCAACACCTTTTTAAAAGTGTTACCAACGTAGATTACACTTTTACAAAAAAGTTGCGGGAAAAAAGTGTAATTCGGTCAAATAACACTTTCAAAAAGAGTTGGAAGAACAAAATACACTTTAAAGCATTTTACACTTTTCATAAAAGTGTTATTTGAACGAATTACACTTTTTTCGCATGCAATGATTTTGTAAAAGTGTAATTTGTATCATTGACTCTTTTACGAAAGGTGTAACGCGCGCTAATAGTATATTTTGTAACAAGTGCGCGAAGCAGTTGACTCACCCAGGAGTTGTTTTCACCCGAGCGTAGCGAGGGTGCAAAGACTCCTGGGTGAGTCAACTTCCTCGCGGACTAGTTGCAAACGATATTTTTTAACTCTGCTTGCGAGAAACTAGGGTTTTCTGACGCTTTAAGGTTAGAAAGCCCGTGTTTCGCGCACGCAGTGTTAAAATAGTATATTTCTCAACGGGTGCACATATGGTTTTTTAGCAAAACGAGGGATTATAGCACGAGCCGAAGGCGAGTGCTGTAACGAGTTTTGTTAAAAAACCATATCTGCACCAGTTTGAGATACTATTTTTTCCTACGAGAGCCTAAAATTAGCGGCAAAGTTGCGTATTTTAGGTTAGAGTGGGAAAAAGTGTATTTTGCCCTTTTAACTCTTCTTGAAAGTGTTATTTGACCGAATTATACTTTTATAAAACCGTTGCATCCATAAAAAGTGTAAATCGATCTAAGAACACTTTTTGAACGTATTTCACAGTAAATTATGATTTTATAAAATCATAAGTTTTAGTTATTTTGCAATTAATCATATATTATGTAATTAGAAAGTTTTATTATGCCAAAAATAGCAAAAAATCAGATTTGTGAAGACTTTGAGATATCAATGACATAATTTTTAATTGATTAAATCAAATGATACTTCGTACAGGGCATTTTCAAATTGTTACTAACTGAACATTAAAGAAGACGATACGGATCAAGTAAATAAGAATCCTTCCAAGAAAATCTTCCAAATCAACATTTCGTGACAGTCTGAAAAAGCTTAGTATCAACCAAAATTGTTGAAATAATAAATATTATATACTCATTTGAAAAATTACAGAGTTAAAAAGCTTGAACCTACACAGAGTCTTATGTTTAGTCATTTACTGACACCGAGATTTGTGCTATTTTTAATCTAAGGATGCCATTGTAATGCGTTTTTGTTCAAACAAAAGCACCGTTTGAAAAGGAGGCATCACTGCGTGAGCTCAAGTTGTTGCACGTAAAAAAAGAATTGCGAAACAACCTGCGGAAAATAATGATATTTTTACAATATCAACAAATATGATATAAAAAACTTTATTAAAAAATATTAATAAAGCATACATATAATCATTACATAAAAATTATAATTTAAATTACTATACATTAAATAAAAGTATAATTATTTCGAACATTAAAAACTATAAAAAAGATTACATTATATTTTTTTTATCACTTTCAGGTTGATTTAAATAAGAAATCAAATTTTTTACACTCTCGCTGCAATTTTCAGCGGTTTTTATACGTAATATAAAGTAAAAGAAGTCAAAAAAATCCTGTAAAGCTTTTACAGGTTGTATATCAAATATAAGAAAAACTTTAATAAAAATATCAAACGCCTCAAGAAAGATATTGCCAATATCCATTAAATGAGAATTTATTCTCAGAGTGTAATGTCCATCTTTTATCTCCCCGGTTTCATTAGAAACTGCTACAGTGATTTTATTTTTTTTAAAAGCGCCGGATTCCTTAAGATCATCACCAAACTGTAATAATAATAAATGAATTAAATTTATACATTCAAATTATTTTAAAGTATTCATTCTAACTTACTTTGAAAAATTTTACGATATTTTCAAGCGGATTGTTAAAACATTTTTCTCCACAATCGGTTTTTCTTCGTTTCTGTTAATAAATATTGATTTTGTTTTATTTTCTTAAATAAAATGAACTTTTTTTATAAAAGTAGTAGTTGTAAAAACTTACTTTTTTTTCGTATGAGCCAGTAGATAATAGAGCTGGAACTAAATGTATGGCTTTCAATGAATCTGAAATCGATACAAGTCAATCAATTGGTAAAGAATCGATATTCTAGTTATAAAGTCTAAACAAGATTCTACTAAAAGTCTTACAAAGTATTTTATTGTTAGTATTTTTATCTGCTAATTTGGCATTTATATTTACCGTCATTGATATTTTGAAGCCATGCCCACAGCTCACAGTTCTGTCCCATTTCTAATATCTTTTTTACATACTTAAGGAAAGATTCTTGTAATGACCTATTACCATGCATAAATTGAAACTCTTCTTGAATCTGTGCGTGATAAATTATAAATTATAAATTACCTCCAATAAAAAATGAACAAAAAACATGAATTTAAGACTGGTTTTTATTTGCCAAAATATTTTAATGTTCACTCAAGGCGCTTTTTCAAGTTCTTAAATTCTAAAAAGTAAGAAAAATGTGGCACCGGATCTAAAAACTAATTGCCGACACTTAATTCAAATCAAAGAATTGAAATCTATTAACGAAAGCGTCCTAGAAAAAAATCCCTAAAAACTCATACGTACACTTAAAAAAATTTAGAAGCATATCTCTCTCTCACAGAGACCACAGCGCTCCAGGCACGCTGGTAGAAGAACTCTATGTGTTAGGAAACGTTACTGGCCAAGATTGGGAGCGTTTTGATCCCTATCGTAAGAGACCGTACTCGTGTTGCGTGTGCTTGACAATATTAGGTAAGTGGACAATTACAATACAGATGCGGTGGTATCGAAATTATCTCGCAAGAGACAAGCGCGCGCTTGTCATGGGATCAAAACGCTCCCTAGTGAGATTAGATTCAACCGAGAATGAGGAATGATAATGGTCCGCCACTTTGTAGCGTAATGTGACATCGTGAGACAAAAACAATCCAAAATTTTTTTCAGTGTATTCTTTCCCTAGTCCAACGACTTTATTTCATTTTTTGTTTCAAATCTTTTCAAATATACATTCATACTTTCTACCTTAGAAGCAAAGAATAAAAAATTTAAATTTCTCAAAGAAAAAGTATGTAATTGAACAGATTTTATCAAAAATTTCATTTAAATTATTGAATGGCAGTACCCGTTAAAAAATGGCACTTTGGAAAATAAGAACCAGTAGATGAATGAATACTCACCAGTTTTCCGTTATAGGATAGCAAATGCGGATAAAGATTTAAAATCGTCATCAACGTATATTTGCTTAAATTTTCAACCCTTGTCTTACGAGTTTCATCCATAATTTGTAATATTGCATTTTTATTCTGTTCTGTACTAGCAAGTAATTTTATTCTTCGTGCCTACATAAAAATTAGATTATTTAGATTATGAAAAAGAATCATGAATTCGAATTACTATATTTAATTTCTCCGCTAACGTCTCATTTGTATGTCCAATTTGTATATAACCCGGAAAAATTATAATTACTGCTTATCCAAAAGTCAATTCGTGATTAAAAGCGGACAATCACCTGACAATCACCGCACAAATTACCTTACCTGTTGTAAATGCAATTTTTCAGGATCGAGTTCGCCGACGATATTTTCATCAGGTACATCCTTTTTTTTCTTATATTTTTTTTCTTCGCCTCTTAAATAATTTTTACGATCATTTTTAAATTTATTTTGCAACATATTTGTCCATTTGAGCTGAGAGAACAAATAAATTAGAAAAAATCAAATGTTATTTACAATATTATTTTATTATAAGATTGTCTGCTAAAAAGCTTACCCAAGGTATTTTATCCTGTGATGAAGATACTCCTAAAATCGGAAAACGTTTAACCAATTCTTGTGCCATGAGATCTTGAAAAGCAGGTGGTAGGTACCTATGTGATGAATAAATTCAGATTAATTCTCATTCTCAACTTCAATGCAATGAATCAAAAATATCAATCAAAAACTTCAAATTATTATATTATTATAGGTAACGATAAAAAAATCGTGACTTTGAGTACAACACGTTTGAAGTTTTCAAGTGTCATGAAAGCATGATTTGCTGGGAAATACAAAAAGAGATAAAATTATCATCTGAAGTATACGAAAAAGACTGAAGGCTTACTGCTATACCTTAGTGAAACATCAAAAGTTTTTAATCACAATAAAGTAGTAAACGTAGGAGAAATAATAATATTGTACATGTAATGAACAAATTTCGAGTTTAAGGTTTTTATAAGCGCATAAGTTGCTACATAAATTTACGAAAATTTGTTGATTTTATGATAATATCATCTAACTACTTTACGGGTAAAGAACTGTGGGCGAAGAAAAAAACTGACAACATTACAAAAACGTTGAAGGTAGTGTAAAAGCAATGTTAGTGGCTTTTGAAATCAATCATATCGATA